TGTGTGTGTGTGTGTGTGTGTGTGATAGAAGAGGTAAATGAGAAATAAAGAAAAGAAAGGAAAGACGGAGGATTTACAGAATCAGAGTGGATGCATGGTTGTGCATATAGATTAGAGATTAGATTCACACAGTTTGTCTCTGGAGACTCGTTCTACAGATGTGACCCAGAGGTGAGTTAAACTGAGTTCAGATTGAACATGAAGCGAATCATTATCTAAGTTTATTTACACAAATCTGCCTGAAAATAAACCTGATGTGTTCGAGATAACGGCAAAAATCTAGTTATATTTAGTTGGAGTTTGATTTGTGGGTTAGTTTGTTGTTTATGAATGTAGATAAAATGTGTAACATGTATGTTTATACATCAGTGTATTCTGCTGCTCATTACTGACCAGGGTGTTGATCTTTAATCAGGGCTGAACACCATCACACTCATGAAAAAATTCACTTAAATTCTGATGTCCCCATTTCTAAAAAATGTGTAAATAAATAAAATTAAATAATATAAATAAAAAGGAATCAGAGGTGAACTGTTTGTGTATTCTGATATGTTGGTTTAAGCCTTTTATGAGTTATTGTGCGTGTGTGACGACAGTTAATCTGCTACATGCTTTTCCTACGATTGTAGTTGTGACGTGAGTGAAGAAAACAGTTCAAGGTGTTTTGTGTTCAACCTCGATTCTTCAGCGGAGGAGAGTTAAACTGCTATTTCATCTCCCAGACAGTCGGGAGTCGCCTGTCTGTTGAGAACATTGAGCAGCCTCAGCGTCTCCTCGTCCGTCCCCCAGCCAAAGATCTCCATCTCCTCCTCCTCGTCCTCCTCCTCCTCCCCCTCGTCCTCATTGTCGTCGCTGTCGTCCGTGTTTGACTCGTATTCTGAGGCGATGCCTGACTCGCGAAACCTGGCAAAGTCCAGGCAGCCCAGAGATTTGACGTCGGCGGACAGCGACTCTGCCGTGCCCTCCGACCCCTCTGGGCTTTTGATCTCTAGGCTGCTTGGCTTGAGCGGCGGGGGAGGCGAGGGAAGTCGAGGAGGAGGCGGCCCCGGGGGTCCTGGGAGGAAACGGAAACACTCCAGTTTGAGAAGACACTGGTCCCTACCTATGGGGCCTCCGAGAGTCCCGTTGGAAGATGAGAAGGCCTTGCTCGTCCCGTCACCGCTGCTCAGCGCAGGCAGGTTGATGGCCGACAGATTGGGTTTAGGAGTTGTGGGGTCGCAGATCACCGGAGGTATCGTCGACCGGAAGGTGATCTCCAACAAACTGTCCTGGGAGCCCACTGGAGAGAGAAGAGACGAGGCATAAAAGATGAAGAAGAAGAAGGTGACAAGTGACGAAGGAGCGGATCAGACAGATCAAATATTTATATCACATTCACAAGTTCCACTCTCCACTTAATTTAAATTCCTCCGCCATCACTCACAGCAGAATAATATATGTGATACAGATATCTGGCAATTGCGATGAAAAGGAAATCAATCACTCTGTTACGAATAAATCATTTTTCTATAGAAATTTTTTTCAAAGCATTTCATCATCATCAGGACGGCACAGCCAGACATGGTTTGCATCCGTCTTCATGGACACAGGGGAAAGACCTGGCCCTGAAAAAACTGACAGATGCATAAAAAGAACAGTTCATCTTTTCTGTCTCAAACACTTCGGTAAAAACGGAAATGTGGCTGAGACGCAGCAGCTCAGTTTGGAATCACAGCTGTTAATAGTGTTTTTTTTAAAAATCACTGACAACGTCTGTCGATAAAGTTATGGAAACTGGTCGAACCGGAATAAAACAAAATCAGCTTCTTCTCTGCTGCGTATCTGACATTTAAAATCTGGGAAAAACGCGCACGCTAACAAAACGCAAACTAGCCAATCAGGGTAGTTTCCAACCACATGCTGTGTTAATGCAACACAGCGAGACGAGTGGCTCGTTTAACTCAGCGAGATGTGTTTAATATTATATCTTATTAACTCTGCTGTGAGGTTCTAACTCATCAATAACTTATTCTAATTATGTAAAAAAAATTCAATACATTAAATGGACAGGAAGTGCCTCGTTCCATGTGCGCCTGCTTCCCTGCAGCTTCACACTCTGTAGATGCTTGTGCGTGTACTCTAACATGTCAACGCGTGTGCATCTCTTCATGTATGAACTCAGAATGTGAGTGTGAGAGTCCCGTGTTTATAAAATCCACTCACTTGAGTTTGGTCCAGACATCTTTGTCTCCAGCTCCTGGATCTGTTTAACCAGCAGGGAGATGTGCTGCAGCAGGTCCTTGTTCTGCAGCAGCAGCTGATGGACTCGAGCCTGAGCCTCCAGTCGAGCTGTGGCCTCTGCACTCAGCTGGTCCTTCAGGAGGTGGACCTGCACAGGAGGAGAAGGAGGAGGAGGAGGTGGAGGTGGAGGTGGAAAAATATACGGGAGGAAAACGTTACACACACATTTTAACTGCTTGTTAAGTCAATGCTAACACTCCCCATCTAAAACCCACAGATGCAACACACCGAAGGTCAAACTGCGTTGATCTTTAAAACATGATTTGCCTGTGAGAGAAATCAGACCTGAGCTGTTTGCTTTGAATATTTGAATTAAGATTTAAAGGAAATAATACAGAACAGTAGGCGACTCACAGTCCTGCAGGTTTTTAAACTGCGTCAGTGACCCGTGTTCCTACTGAATGAACTCAATGCATACGCTGATATTTTGGAGTCAAAACTGATGTTGTTTTTTTATATTTTAAATTAAAGCAAAGGTTAAGTTTACATATTCAGTGTGTGTTGTTTTTTGTTTTTTTTATCAGGATCCATGAATTATTCCCTGGGAAATCTGTGAAAAAGTAAATTAGGTAAAGAAACCAAAATGTCGTTGTTTATTCTTCCCTGACTCCACCACATTAATACATCCAGCAATTTTACCATAATCCTGCCAACAAATAAACCAGGCAACAAACAAGTGGACAGAGATGAAACCTCAACCTCCTCGGTGACTTCAACACAACAGCTGTTGACGAGTAAAGACAAAAGGTTTTGTGTTGAGCTCGCAGTGTTTCTTCTGGATTGGTACGAACAGCTGGCTATGCTAACGTGGCTTTCAGCAGACGTGAAGGAAAACCTTTGGCCTTGTGCTACAACAATGTGCTAAAAGTGCTACCGCATGAAACACCACGAGTTTAATGAACGTTGTTATTATCTAGACTTTCACCTCGTCTCTGAACTGATGAGGAGATGAGAGGCGTCAGGACGAGGCTGAGTCAGCTCAGCAGGTGGCAGTGATGGATCAGTCACACTGTATTTTCACCGCGCGATAATTAATCAAAGAAGGAAAAAAAAAAAAAAAAATCCCCGGGATCCCCTCTGAGAGTTTTTCCAGTTGGAGGCGAATAAATCAATCAGTGACACTCGGGTGGAGATTTAAAGGAAAGAAAAACTTTGAAAACAAACAGAGCAGCGCTGCTTGTTCTTGATAATTAACATCTGGACGAGTGGATTCAAGTCAGACGCTGACAAACAGCTGACTGAACAAAATCAGACACCTCAGCTGAAGAACAAACGTTGATGCAAACTCAAAGGAACGGTCGTGTCGCTCTGTTCTCTGGGAAATCGTGAGATGAAATTTTCAATATCTTTAGACATTTTAGAGACAGAATAGAATCATTACCTCCACAAACCATTTTTTTCTATAAGATCACCACGAAATCTATTCTTCTCTTGACTCCTCCTGGTTTAAAATCACACTAACATCTGGCTTTTGTCTGCAATGGGACGGGATACAATCAGCATTCACTCTGCAGTAGAAACAAATTTCTATCATCTCTGATTGGCACAGATGGAAACGTGACAACCGGGTGAACACGCTAATTTACCCAAACAAGGTTGTTCGGCAAACTCCTCCTCTGGCAAAGGGAAAGGAGTCAATCGCCATACCTGCTATGTGAGGCGTAAAAGATGTTTCAAGTGAAATTCCCTACAGGCAGCTTTGACGTATCAAGTTCAAGAGGCCACAACATGTTTTGCAAAACCACCGAGCCGTTGACCTTTGACCACAAACATCTTATCAGTTCATTTTCAAATGCAACCGAGTGTTTGTGGCTGATTTAAAATGATTTGTGTTGAACGTTCTTGAACCAACGTGTTCACAAGGCAAAAAAAATGGTTTCACAACGACCTTGACCTTTGGCCTCTACCACCACTAAAAAATAATTATCACGATTGATTTCGACTCATTTCAACTTATTTTTCAGATTTTTGATCCGTCTCCATTGTCGACACACAGAAACACTGGAGTTACAGAGAAAACATCAGCGATAGATGTTGTGTCTTTGTAATTACTTTTGCTTTTATAACCTCCGGTTACACTTTTATTGCCGGACGCGCTCGGCTCCAGCTGCAGCTCTGATCCTCATGTAACCTTAATGCCGCAGCCGGCTGTGGTCCGCAAGATTAAAGCACAAACTCCATCTTAATTTAAGACAGAGAGAATAAAACTTGTATGACACTAAATCTTTTATATAAAGGGGGAGGAGAGGGAGAGAGAGACGCCGTACATACATATTAAAATACACACATGCACAGACACTGACACACACATATGCGCAGCGTTAGTGGCAGCAGTGACTCCCCATTTTTACTTCAAAGCACTTCTCCAAATTAAATATTAGTGGCACCACCTCCCACCCTATTTAGCCTCCCCCCATCCTGCGGCTCGTAATGGCTTTCAGCGATTTCAAAAGGAGGAATTCTTGAGTTTTGCGCTGTCGCCTCACAGCAAGAAGGTTCGATCAGGGTCTTTCCGTGTGTCGATTCAGTTCAGTCCTCGTATCCGGTTCAGTGCCGGGTGATCCGATCACAAGTGGACGCCCAAATGTGTCCTGAGATCAGATCGCTCCACACTGGGAGGTGGTGACGCACACACGTCGCCTACTCAGCTGACGTCTTCTCAGTTTCCTTACGTTGGTTTGTTTGTGGCCACGTTATCAACACTGATCCGCCACATAATGATTTATATTCTTTTAAATGGGTAAAATCTGATTCCATAGTAGAGGATTCGTTCACTCAGCCCCTCCTACCTCCGCTCTGACACACACACACACACACACACACACACACACTCTGGAGACACACACGTGAGACAAAACAAACTTTCAGAGAAGTAAAATCTCGGAGAGAATCTCTGATATGGTTTTGATACAAACAGCTTCGGAAGGTCAGCTCTTGCTGTCTTGAAGGTTCATGCTACACAACTGACTGGCGACAGGGTGAGCTTCTAAAATCACATCTTGGAACAGTTTACTCGTAGCGATTGGCGACTGATGATTGAAAACGGTTTTACCTCCGATTTTTGTCAGACGGGTCCAGAATTTGTGGGCGAGTAGAAAACCGTGCAGAATATCTTGCGGAGTGAAGCAGGCATTCGAGGTTCCCACTGATGATTGTATCCCTCAAGACGGATGTGAACACCAGGTGTGAAAAGGGCCACAATCGCCCGAATGTTGTGACGTGAGCGTGAACCCGACCCCCCCTCCCCCCCCCGTGATCCTTTTAGGATAAGCAGCAAAACTCTCATGACAGTTTGAGGGAGATTAACCTTGGAGTGTGACCAACGTGCAGCAGGAACCGAACAAAAGAGTGTGAAACCTGCTTTTATCCAGTGATTCCACAAACACTGAGATGTGAGAATAGTGTAGTGTCCCTCTCCGCTGTCAGTAAAGCTCTTTACATTCTGCTCTGTTCATATAAATAGTCTAATCAATAGGAGAGTGTGTCTGAACAGGTGCCCATAAAACCTGCAGGAGCGGCCCAGCGAGCGCAGCGGGGTCTGAATTACTGGGTCTGATGTGGAGGTGCAAGTCATTCAAACTCAGAATGACTCCCTGGTTTCTCATTTCAGCTCGATGTGGTGTCACAGAACTCGTTACCGTGGAGGCTCCTGACGTCAGTGGTGAAACATAAACTGTGATTGGTCCTTGAACAATGCACAGGACGCCTCAGCAGGAGGCTGTAGAAAGTCCTTTAGTATCAAATTTAGTCTGAAACTCATTAAAATGGTGAGGGTGCAACACCGGTCCAGGTGAATTTACAGCAGAATTTATGAATGTGCACGGTCTCAAACAAACCGATAAATAAACTGGAAGGTCGTTCAGAGGGTGCATGATGGATAAAGAGAAAACCAACTCCTGGATCTGCACGTTTATCCAGATCTGACAAACAGTTTATTACCTCATTGGCTGAGGTAATAAAAAAAGACAAAGAGTGAAATTATGACTTCAGACGGACTTCTCCTCTCGAGCTCTTGTTGGACACACAGAAGTGTTGTCTCTTTTACGATAGCTCTGAGATTACTGCCTCAACAAACAGTCGGCGTGTTGACGACTTTTCTAAACCACGACAGATGTGAAACTGGAAGAATACAATATCTCAAGATGAACGTAGAAGACGTCGAAGAAGACGTCAATTTGGAAAGACGAGGGGATTCCAGAGGTTTTGGTGATAATTGCCGACCGTGGTGTGGATGTGCTGTAAACAAAAACACACCTCGTCATTTTCCAGTTCCGACCCGGAAACTCTTTCATGTCTGAAAACGGCTTTAGCAGAACAGACGAACTGTGAATCTACAACACGAGGGGTCATTTTGGTTTAAAATCCATCCTCAACTGTACCCAGTGTAAACTCGTTTCACTTTGCTCATCCCTCTCCTCTGTTCTTCACTAGACTGCTTCTGCTTGAGACGTCTGGGTCTCCAGAACCTTCCTCCAGCAGCTCACTATCACAACTGTAATGAGGAGCCAGCGAAGCAAAGAAAACCAAGATGGGAGTGAGAACTCAAAGCCTCCCTCCAAAGGCCTCCACATCTCCTCCTCCTCCTCCTCCTCTTCTTCTTTCACATTCCACTCACCAGAAAGAGAAGTGTTGATGAAGACTGTCATCTACGTCTATTATCTGTGCACTTAACGACAAACAGAGGTGATTTCAGATTGTGTTGGGGCCAGGCTGCCTCTGCAGACCTCATTTGTAAAGAGTGACACCCTGATGATGGCTCTGCTGGTGTAATTTACTGCTGCCAGGACCCCGTCTTGATCTATGGACGAGTGGCGCTTCAACTCCAACATACGCTGCCCTGCTGACAACTCTAATAGTGCTTCGGACACTCCTCCGTGCTTTATGCCGAGGCCTTGGCGGCGAGTGTCACATTTGTCGTGACGCTGTCTCTCTGAGCTGAGCTGCACGGGCTGGTAGAAGGACACGGACTCATTTTGCGCAAGAAAAAGCAGTGGACGAAGACGCAAAAGCAAAAAACAAGCTGAAAGAATGAAAACAACTTTCTTTTAAAAGTCAGATGTCTGGATATCTGATGAATAAACACAGTCT